GCACTGCATAATGAATTGATCAAGCTGTTTGTCTTAGAAAACCAAACCAAATCAAACTCATTGCAGTCAAGTCACATCCAACTCATAGCGTTTCCGAGGCCGTGTCGCTATGGAAGTAGATTGCCCAACCTTCCTTCCCAAGAGTGGGTTTGTCTTAGGCATTATGCTAAACAATCAGCCCTTTTGCTGCAAAGATTATTGGTCCACTTCTGCCAGCCTAGTAACCACCCAAATAGACCCTAAGAGTTTCACAAAAAGTCTAGTATTACATCATCTTCTATAAAATGTTTGGTCAGTGAGGATTAAGATAAATTCAACATGTATTTTTTGAGCGCCAGGCAGAATTATAAACACTTGACATGAATTGGTGAACAAAACAAATATGTCTACCTTCATGGAGCTTAGATGAGACAATACATTGTAAAACACTCTGTAGAAGCTGCTAAGCCATACACATATTGATGGTTGTCTTCATGTTTTTTAAAATTGGAAAACTCTGCATACTTCTAATTAATGTGGCTATGGACTACTATTGGAAGTGCTCCCATACTTTAAGGCTGTATTCAGAGTCACCTAAATGAAGGTCTTCACTTCTCATGTATGCATCTCAGGTCCAGTCACTGCAGAGTAAGCTTCTCAAGGTCAGGGGCCAGGTTTTCCTGTTTCATTTTTCTCTATATCCCCAGGGGTCCCAGCACAGTGCTGGGATCAGTGCAACCTCTCCAACCACGTGTGCTGAATTAACTGGAATTAAACTGGGATCAAGTTGATAAATTGACATCTAGCACACGGACAGAAAGCAGAACACATTTGGCTATATGGTCTCATGATTGATTCACTCTGCATTCCATCCTACAGACTCACTGTTCCCTGCACATTTATTCTTTCCTTAGGAGTGTGGTTAAACCTCGCCTGTACAGTCTTTCCTCCTTTTTCAATCACCATGACCCTTTCCACTGATTTCTTAGACCTCTTATCATATTATGACTTCACCCATAGAAGTTAATATTAAGCATAATTGGGTTATGTTATTTTCTAAAAAGGAGCTATGGTGATGTGGTGATTAAGTGGTCAACTGCTAACCAAAAGGTCAGCTATTCAAACTCACCAGCCACTCTGAGGGAGAAAGATGTGACAGTCTGCTTTTGTAAAGATTACAGTCTTGGAAACCCTATGAGGAAATTCTGTCTGTCTTATAGGGTCATTATCAGTCAGGACTGACTTGACTTGAGCTATTCTCCAAAAATTGCCAAGTTGTCCAATTCCAGAACAGTTCTGCAGTTACTTGAATAATCTCTCATCTCTAAACTCACACAATGTTCAGGATAGTATTGCGAGCAACATAAGTTACATTCTAGATCTTTCTTGTGGAAGAATGATTTCCAGAGATATTTATGTGCATGTGGGTGCTTGCATTTGGACATATATGCATGTCCTCTCCTCCCCCCCCTCCGCTTCCTTATTTCTTTCCACTAAGTTTTGGTATTTGAGTTTAGGGCCTGTTACTGGAACTAGTTAGGGAAGAGTGGTACCAAAGATTTAGTTCTGGTATTCCTGTTTCCCACAGATCTCTCAGTGATCTATGGACTATAACTGTACTAATTAGTAGGCTGGTTTTCTTCTCTTCTTCTGAACTAATGTCTCAAATCATGGTCATCTTCATTGAGTCAGAATTTTGTACATGTATGAAATGTGAACTCCTTGCTGTACTCTTAACATCCTGAATTCAAATATCTGGGGTGAAGCTTTGGGGTCTACTTTTGTAACAAGTGGCCTTGAAATTCCATTGTGCACCCAAGTTTGAGAATCACTGCCTGTGGTACACTGTTAGCGGGAAAAGTACATTGTGGAAAATCCCTGGATGGAAAGCTAGCAACTGAGTCCGGGACCTTTCCTGTAATGGGCATGTGGTTTTAGAATTGGTTTCCTCTCCCAGATCAATAGAGCATGAGTATTTCAGATTATGGACACAGAGAAAGATTCACTTGTGACTCACCAAAGCAGCATGCATGGGTCATAGTTAATTTATACCACAGGAAATTGCATTTCTTGAATGAACACTTTAAAAAAAGTTTATTTTTCCTAGGTATTAAGAAAAATAACTAAAATTAAAATGTTATTTGTTAAAGTCAACAAAAGTAAATACTATTACACACACAGTCCTGCAATAACAGTAATAATAATCATCTATGAGTGGATATATAGATAGAAATGCAAGCTGAACAGAAATGGGAAGAAGGATGGGATAACACCCATGAATATATATAGGTTTGACAGAGGATATTTCTGCGTTTGTATTTATATGTACTGCAAATGTGTCCATGAATATATAGAGTATACCAAAACCAAACTGACTGTCGTATAGTTGGATCCAACTCATAGCAACCCCTCTCCTTGGGTTTCTGAGGTGGTATCACTATGGAAGTAGATCACCCAACCTTCCTTCTGAGGAGTAGTTGGTGGGTTTGAACCTCCAGCCTTCTGGTTGGCAGTCAAATGCCTTAGGCAAAATTATGAAAATATTCTAGTCAAAACCGCACACCTTGAAGGAAAGAGTTATTGGGCATGGGGACTCCAGACCATAGCCTTGGGGAACACTAAGATCAACTGGCATACTATAGTCCACAAAGACAATGTTCTACATCCTACTTTGAAGAATAGCAATTGGGGTCTTAAAAGCTTGTGAGCTACCATCTGATGTACAACTGGGGTTGGTCTCTCTCTGTGAAGGAATGAAGGAATCAAAGACACAAAGAAGCAATTAATTCAAAGGAGTAGTGAACCATGTGAACTCCAGCTTCCATGACTTTGAGACTAGAAGACAGGTACCACTACTGACCACTCTGGAAGGGACCATAATAGAAGGTCCCAGATAGAGTGGGAGAAAAATGTGGACCAAAACTAAAAATCATATAAATAACCCAGCTTTCTGTTCTGATGAAGACTGGTGGATCCTCCAAGGCTACGACTATCAGACACCCTTCAGCTTAGGATCTGAACTCACCGTCATGGCTCAGTTTTCAGCCAAACCATAGGTCTATAAAGTAAGATATGCACTCACTAGAACAATCAAGCACATGAGGTCAAATGGGCAGTATTTGCCTCCAGACAAAACTAAGAAGGCAGGAAGGAATAGGAAAGAAGGATGGAAGGAAATGGTAAACCCAGGGAGAAAGTACCAAGAGTGCTGTTACATTGTGAGAAATGCAATGAGTGTCACAAAACACAATGTGTAAGAATTGTTGAATTGAAAACCAATTTGCTCTATAAATCTTCACCTAAATCACAGTTAAAATCAATAATAGAAAAGTCATTTGTAATACAAATCATATTAGTGACAAATAATATTAACATATATATTTTCTTATTTATGACAATATTGTTATTGGTGCTAGTTGCCAATGAGTCAGTTTCAACTCATGATGACCCCCTGTGTGCAGATTAGAAGTTCTCCACAGGATTTTCCAAGCTGTGACCTTTTAGAAGCAGATAGCCAGCTTTTTCTTTCAGGTACCCTGAGAAGTTTCCAACCACCAACATTTCAGCTGCTCTGGTAGCATAGTGTCTAAGGCACTTGACTGCTAACCAGAAGGCTGGTGGTTCAAACCCACCAGCCACTCCTCGGAAGGAAGATGGGGCAATCTACTTCTGTAGTGATACTGCCTCACTATGAGTCGGGTCCGACTCGACGGCACATAACATCAACAGTCAAACTACATTTATATTTTTATATTTCACATTCAGTTTTATATTCAGCTTTTACATTTAAGTTTACATTTTATATATTTGTATAAAAATAAATTAAAATTAGAAAATAACAAATTTTAGTTACCAAAATGTATCATTTTATTATATTCCTGAAGAATGTCTTGTCAATACTGCTTTTAGCCTTCTACATTAAATGCCACGACAAAATCATTATTAAGCAGGGAACAGAGGAATAGCTCTGGTGAGATGTTACTGAAATAACTCTTCGTAGCTGAATCTTCCCAGAGCAATGACCTATTTGTAATCATTTTCCTTGTAACTCTCTCTCTCTTCCTTTCACTCTGTGTATCTCTCTTGTATTAAGATCCATGTTAAATATTTTTATTATTGTCATTTACATTTATTTTAGTATACAGAAGTTGATCTGATGGTGAGAAAATGAAGGTATGTTTTCTCCTTTAAATACTTTTTTAAAAATGCATGGCTATGGATCATTTATACCCAATAAGACTACACTGTCAGAAGAGGTAAAACTCCAGTTGCTCCTGCTGTATCAAAAGCCCTTTCAAAAACATCACTTTTAACTAATATAACAACATATTTTGTTTCTTTTTTCTTTTTCATTAGGCACCTTTTAAAACATTGGCCCATGGGGAAAAATAACAATATAAGGAATTCATATTCATGTTAATATTTAGCATTTAGCTATTATTGTCAGATATTTTTCAAAATGACTTATAAACACAGTATCATTTTGCACTCATAAACACCTTATGAAGAGGTATTGATACCTCTATTTATGAAACTTCAGTCCAACCCTTAGCCTGTAAGCTTCAGAGCAAGGGTTTACACTCAGAGCTGTCTGGATTAAAATGCATACTCTTTCCCACTCTGAGGTGTCAAAAGGTTAGGAGTCATGGCTCCACCTGCTTCCCAGGTGCTAGAAACCCTTCCTGGGGCTGCTCTGCCCAACACTTTGGAATGCAAACTCCTTTCAGCAAGCACTTGTTTAGCATAGTTTCACCAGTGGCCTGTCTGTCTAAGGTAGTCAACGAATATTAAAATAGTCCCAATCATAAAATAGCACTCAGTCAACCGTGTAGCCTTCTTACTAAGGGGAGGAGAGAATAACTCACTTTCCCTGGAGGGCCTGAGAAAGAGTAGTTTACAGACCCCAGCATGAGGTGTGACCCTTCTTTCCTCCATCTTTGCACTTGCTCATGCTTCTGGTGACCATCATCCTGGATTAGCCCACAGTCTGGGCAGAGAACTTTAGCAGAGCTCCTTTGCTTCCCCTCCCAAAACATAATCAGCCCTTTCATTGACCTGGCTTCTGATTGGAGCCAGGTTGCATTGGATAATGACCTTCAAGACCACTCTGTTGGTTACAGTCTGTTCATATTATTCTTACCACAGCTTAAGACGCCTGCAGTGGAGTGTAAAGAAAAGTAAAAGACAAGTATTTTCACATCCCCAGGTACTAGAAACACAGAAGACTGACAGCTTCCCAGCTACCTGAGCGGTCCCCGGGCTGACGTCTGCCCATGTGTCCCTTTTGGAAAGGTGGCTTACCAAGATGAGGGATCTTCTTCAGTACACTGGCTGCTTCTTTGCCTTTTTCTCTGCTGGATTTTTGATTGTGGCCACCTGGACTGATTGTTGGATGGTGAATGCAGATGACTCCTTGGAGGTAAGAAGTCAGCAGTTTCTCTTTCTGACCCAAGTCCACCCAAATCATCTCTAAATTCCACTGCCATGCACTACATTTACTAGGATTAGCAATAATTGCAGTAACAGTCAACATGGAATTGCTTGCTAATTAATTACTTACTGAATCTCTGTACTATAAACTCAATTAATCCTCAGTAAATCTATGAAGTAGTTTTGCTGTTATCCGCATTTTACAGATGAGGTTACTGAATAATGCTCCCCCCTTTTTCTAAAATAAAGGCAAAGTCATGGAAGGATAATTGCATACTCCCTGCCATTGAGTCCTCTCTTGGTGTGTATACTGGATTATAATGATAATACCCCTTCTCTGAAAGAAGATTTTGCTAATCTTAGTTATGGCATTAAGAATAGGGTGATGGGCTTTCTTAAAGAGTGATCAAAGTCATTGAGTAATGAGACTCAAGGCATATAAAATTTACCCATTGATATTCAGTAGAATAATTATATTTTAAGGAATTTCCATAATAAGACAAAACAACCCAAGGGAGAAAATGTATTTCCAGTGTATCCCAAAGAATATGAGACATATCTGGACTTGAGAAATTCTTTCTTAAAAAAGGGTGGCTCCTGGGAAATGACAATTATGCAAGAAATAAGTTCATACTTGAGGATTTTTTTTTTCCTCACTGTAGAAGCTCAGAAAGAAGTAATTTTTTATGGCCATAGAGATCTGAGAGAAATAGAATTGAATAAAAACCAAACCTTCAGAATCTGCTACTCTTTTCTAGTAAGGTTTAGGAGATTGTAGGTAAGAAAAAAGAACAATATATCAAAATTCTATAAAAGAGCAACCCAATTTGCTCTTTATCTACATGTTGAAAGTAACAGTTTACCTGAACTAATGCTATAATATCTTACCTATGAAGTTCAGGAAAGATAACCAAGAGTGAGTCTATATGTAGTTTTTTCTCTTAGTTTTCTCTAGAATTATAAATGGGGAGTAATAATCTATTTTGCTCTGTATTATTTTTGCCACTTACTTTACCTCGCTTTCAACTGTCTTCTGACCTCCACATGGCATTTCAAAACCAATTGAGTTATAAATACTTCTTTAGTGATAGAAAATTATATTTCTAAAAATTGTGATTAAATTGAAATACTGTCTTTTATGAGTGAATCTAGTCATGCATGTTATCTGACATGCATCTAAGCAGTGAATAAATAAAGCCTGAGGAGCAGGACTCAGAGAACTGTACAGATAAAAACATTCTACTGCTCTCAGCTTACCACTATTGGGACTGCCAGTAGATGGTAATTAAAAGCAGAAATATATTGGACTTAAGTATAATTAAAATTGTTTTCTAAAATGTCATAAAATAGGCAAAATTCATTATAAAGATGTTGCTAAAATATTTTCTAAAACTTGAAAATCATTATTCTTAAGCTGAATGAATTGCTAACTCCATTTGGTATGAAACAGAGTTTTAGAAAGGATCACAACTTGCTGAGAGAGCAGTTGGAAGTTCTGATGGTTAAAATACCTTTTTGGTTTTATTCAAGTTCATCCAACCACTTTTTCCTCTGCCCTGTGGAAGAGCACTTCTACTTAAAATGAATGAGACGAGCAGTCCAGGTTATCTGCCTCTAGTAAATTCTTGCTGACCTAAGACAAGAGTTAGCATTTTTAAGTTTCTTCCTTATTTCTTGTACTTGGAATGTATTGAAATAATGATTTCCTAAGAAGGTTCAACTAAAAAAAAAGTATTCTGTAAGAAAGACAGACCCTTTATTCTCTCCAGAAATCACTGATAATAATCCCTAATAATTTTTAATATATATAAAGGATAGAATTTTCTCATAATAATTGCTTCTGCAATTGGCCAGAATATAAATTCATACTATTATTTATAAAATTTGTAGGTTCTGATATTCACTGATTCAATTACAACACTCTCCCTCCTTATTTTCCTTAACCCCATGTATATATCAGCAATGTACATATTAACAACTCACTTTAAACGACTGTTGGACAAAAATTGATACAACAACAAAAGTCTATTTTTTAAGGAAAGTATACCAATATGAAAATTTAAGTATGAATTTTTAGCTTTGTTAATATTTTAAGACGATAGCATAGTGCATAAGGCATTTGATTGCTAACCAGAAGGCTGGCAATTCAAACCCACCAGCCACTCCTCAGAAAGAAGATTGGGCAATCTACTTCTGTAGAGATACTGCCTTGGAAACCCAAGGAGGGGTCTCTATGAGTTTAATCGACTTGATGGTAGTGAGTATAGAAATGGGGGTTGGAAGATGGGTTCCATGGTTCATTCAGTATAACAAAATAGGAAATACATGAAATATAAAAGGTACTATGCTAATCCCCCTTCTTAGGAAAGGCAAAGATAAACAAGAATTGGCCCTGCCTTCCAGGAGTCTGTATTTAGTTGGTGACTAAATATATGGAACTATATATGGAACTGTAATAAAAAGTGTATATCTTTTTTTTTTTTTTTTTACCAACTAAATGTAGACTCATGGAAGACAGAGCTCACTCTTCATCTTTTCAGAACTATAATAAAAAGTAGGAGCTGTGGTGTCACAGTAGTTAAGGCATTTGGCTGCTAACCAAAAGGTCAGTGATTTAAACCCACCAGGCACTCCACAGAAAAAGATGAAGCAATCTGCTATCTGTTTCAGTAAATATTTACAGCCTTGCAAACTCTATAGGGCAGTTCTACTCTGTGTTTTATGGTTGCTATGAGCCAAAATTGCCTCAATGACAGTGGGTGCTTATAATAAAAATTATATTTCAATTTATATTTTAAGAAATAAATAAATAAAATTCAGTGCGAGCAGAGAAGACAAACTACTTCTTGTTGGGGATATGTGAGTAGGTCTTTTGTAGGAAAAGGCATTTGAAAAGGGCAGTCTTGAAAAGATGCAAAGGATTCTCCAAGGGATGCAAAAAGTAGAAATGGCAGCTGGGTCTTTCAGATGAAAAGACAATGTGACAAAAGTGCATAGTGAGGAAAAGCTCAGGGCTAGTTAGAGGCTTAAGGTTATTAACAAGGTGCACAAGGCAGAAAGAGCTCAAATACAGGTAGTCCCCAAATCACGATGGGGTTCTGATGGAGTTTAATTTGATTTTGATGCAAGTTGAGTATATTTTCCCCATTATTATTGCCTTTTATAATCAACATATTTATAAATCTGATCTTGGAACATCTGTGAGTCAATATCTGAGAATGATAACATCAGGAAATTACATACTACAACACTGTATAAAGTACATATTAATAATGATAAAATGTACAAAATACCTCCCACACCAAACAGATGCTAAAAAGTGCTGTTCATCATAACTTGAATATATCATACAGCAGGTATGACCTGTATTATTTTACTACCATATAGCTGCCTTGAAGAGTGAAGTTCCTTGTATGAAGTAAAAACATTGAGTGGGAAAGAAATGGCACAGGGAACTCCAGTGTGCACATCCCTAAATCAGGGGCCGAGGTCCCAACCTCCCACCCTACTCCTGCCACTTTTCATTTATTTGTGTCTCTAGGTAGACTGATATGGTGAAAAACTTGGGTTATGCAACCGTGTGTTTACATCCTAAGCCATATTAACTGCCTTTTTTAAGTAAGTCATAGCCCTTGCTTAGATTCAGTTTCCTCAGTTATATGATGAATTGAGCTCAGTTATCTCTACTGTTCTGTTCAGTTTTCACAGTCTTTAATGTCATGACTTTCTGTCTGAAATCCCAAAGAGATCACTATCATTGAAGGAACAATGGTCCCTAGAGCCATTTCAAAAATTTCCAATAGGAATTTATTGTAACTCTTCATAACTCCTTCAACTCCCTTGTTACTTCTTTTATTTTCATTCCTTCCTCTTTCTGTTTCTTCTTTCTCCCCTCTCTCTCCTTCTCTCCTCTCCTCCCTTTTCCATAATTCCTGCTCTTCCTCTCCTACTTCTTCTATTGCTTTTCTCCACTTTCTCTTCCAGCTCTTTCTCCCTCCCTTCCTCTATCCAATTTTTCTTTTCTAATTTTCTTCATTTCACAAACATTCCATGATATATCTTCTGTATCTGGCACTGTGATACGATCAGGGTTATGAGGGATAATGAGACCTGTAGCTACCTTAGGTGGCTCCCAGTGTGCTGATGGGAGGTTGACAGATGAACTGACAGATTTAGCATGATGTAGTACATGCTGTGATAAACGATAACCTTGGGTAGGAAGCTCCCTGTCTTCGATAATCTGACTACTCAGAACAAGTGATATCTAAACTGTGACTTAAAAGACAAGTATGAATGAGGCAGAAGAAGTGGAAAGTACTCCAAGCACAGGGAATGATATATGCTGAGATCCAGCTATGAGAGATCCATGGTGTTGTGGAATTGTTCATATTTCAGCATGGAAAGTTTCCAATTTAAGGAAAAGAATATAGGATCCGGGACATCAAGGGCATTATGTGTTGTGTACAATACAGATCTTATACTATAAGCCAAAAAAAAAAAAAAAAACCTCACAACCATCAAGTCAATTCCAACTCATAGCAACCCCAACCGGATTTCTGAGGCTATAAATCTTTATGAAGGTAGATCACCCATCTTCCTTCTGCAGAGCAGCTGGTGGGTTTGAACTGCTGACCTTCTCATTAGTAGACAAATGCCTTATCCACTATGCCATCAGAGCTCCTTTCTAATACTATGCACAAGGGTATATCATTGGAGAGTTGTAAGGAAACATGTATGTGCATTTTAGAAAGATCAAAAGTTCTGGTTACTCTTTGGAAATGGTTGGAATAAGAAGTGAAATAAGGTATACAGAGAACAATTAGTTGATTTCTGCCATAGACCAGGAGGAGTACAGTGGTGGCAAGCATGGAGAGACATGTGAAGACTTGGGAAACTCTGTTGTTTTTGTTGTTGTTATGTGCCGAGTCGGACCCGACTCATAGCGACCCCTCCTTGGGTTTCCAAGGCAGTATCACTACGGAAGTAGAT